ACAAGAAATCTCTATAAATATGGCTTAAATTATGTCAAATATTATAAAAAATCCGCTACGAAAAATGGCAGTAGTTGATAAGTCTTGTTTCAAATCAATTCTCATATCTATTTTATTTAACTTTAATATTAATCTTTTATATAGTTAAATAATTTTTTATATAAAATTTTTATTCTTTATATATAATTAAAAATATCTAATAATTAATTGATTGAATAAATAAACCAATGAAATATTTTTACTTTTTAATGCTTTGTTAGTTATTCTTCTATTTCCAACATCAAAAACATATCATCAAACAAAATTTTTGATGAATTAAATTTTAAAAAAGAAATTTATTCAATATCATAATGGTCGATAATCTCAATGTTGATGAACAAATTTCAAGTAAATTAATCTTCAAAATATTTCTAATTAAAAATATTATTATTATTTATAATAGCTCGTCGATCAAAACGATCATGTCGTTTATCAATAGTAAAAACACAACCAAGTATAGAATTAAAAGAAAATGAATCATTACCCATCAATGATAATGATGATATCGATGAAGAAGATCCACCAGAATTATTTCAATTAGGTGATATTTTCTGGGTTCGTGTTATAGGTAATCCATGGTGGCCTGCACTCATTTATGGTAAATCATAAATTTTATTTATTTATTTAAAAAAAAATATACAATATTTTTCATCTAGGTTCATACTACGAAGATAATCTTCATACAAAAATAGTTAAAACTCCTCGTCGACCAAAGAAACGTAATAATTTTTGTTTTCTAATATCTCGAAAGTGTTGTTTTTTTGTTGTTGTAGGTCTTTATTTTGTTTATTTTTTTGGTCCTGCTTTTGAATATACATGGACAAATGCTAATTCATTAATAGCCTATTCGGGTTTGGATGACTTTATTCGACAAGCTCAAATATCTGTACAAAATGTTTGTTGATTTATTTCTATGTTTTCTTTTTTTTTTTATTCTATTTTTTAATTAAGGCAACAAAAAAATCTGAACAAGAAGCATTAGCAAATCGTTATGAACTTAAAGTAACTGCAAATAAACGAGCTGATTGGTAAACATATATATATTTAATATGAATTTTTGAAATTTTCATATTTATCAGGGATAAAGCTATTGAAGAAGCTGATAAAGCATTTAAATTAACTCGTGAACAACGTATAGAAAATTTTGATGAAATATTAAAGAATATTTTAAATAAAGCAGAAAGTAATATTTACTTCAAAAATTATACAAAAAAAAGAATATTTTATTTGTTCATATAGAAAATAATTCAAATAAAAAACGACAATCTTCTGTCACAACACGACAATCAGTAAATAAAAACAACAAAAGAATTTAATATAAAAAAAATAATAATTTTCGTTTTAGAGAAAAACTTTATCACCATCTACAAATAAATCTTCAAATCGTTCATCAGTAAAAAGACAAAAAACAAAATCGACGGTAATAATGATTAGAGTTCATTGCGTCCAAAATTTTCTAATCAAAATTCAATAGAAGATATTTTTTCACCAGTTTTTTTTTTGTATTCAGTGACTAGCGCACCCTATACATTTTTCAATGACTAGAATCTATCGGATCCGAAACCAATTTGACGGACTTTAGAGATGATTCTATATTATTGGTGAAGAAAATACCCACTTTTCAGATTCCATACAAATTTCTTAAGCATCCAATAAAATATTATAATGTTGTGAAACAACTGAACCATATCTTTTTTAATATGTTGAAATGACAGTTCGCCATTTGAAAATTATTCATTTATTAGAAAAATTGAAAATTCCATTTGTGAGATTAATACTGTGTGTATGGAGCGTCTCCTGATTGCAGACAATTTTTCTTAATTGGAAGAAAAAAATGTCGGCATTACGGAAACAAGCAAAAATTAGTCCAGATAGCTCGATTCAAGAGAGAATATCATCTCCATCGAGCTAGTCTAATGTTCGACGACAAATTAGATGCACAATTTCTTAAATTAACAGATTATATTTTTTCATACATATATATTGAAGAAGCTTTATACCTTTGGAACTTATTCGATTTAATTGGAAGACGAACAATCACATAGGGATTTATCATAGTCCAACACATTCAAACCTTTGATCTTGAATAAGATACATTCAAGAGACACGTAGGTGAAATTAGCCAAAGATTCGAGTAAGAACAGCTAGGATTCGCCTAGGAACTTGTTCCAAGTGCAAATAGACGAACTCTATCCAATGGTATGTTCAGATGTTTCATAGGTCAAACTACGGTTTTCATAGTGTCATCTATGGTCTCAAAAATCATACTTGAAACAGACTCCTAGGCGAATCCAGCAGTATTCAGACTTCCAAAAAAGGAAATTACGGAACTTTTGGAAGTGATACCTCTGAAAGCTCCGTTATCTCGAAAAATTTGGTAATTTCCGAAATTTCCAAAATTTCCATAACTTGCACTTTCGGAAATTTCCGAAATTTCTTTAAACTTCCAAATTTTCAAGGACACTTTTCTATGAGTTTACGTGTTATTGAAAATTTCCGTAATTTCCCTTTTTGGAAATCTGAACATACCTCTCAATTCCCTAGAAAGTCTGGACTAGGGTTGAAGGACACATCTGACAAGAATGATGTAGTGTATGAATCTAAAAATAGTTAAATGTTTAATTATTCTGTGCAACTTATATCTTTGTATTTCTTTACATAATAAATTTTTTCTTGATTGGTCGAAAAAAGTGTGTGCAATCAAGCTGTAGCCAGCAAAAGATTCTTTTTTTAATTTTCTTTTGGAAAGATGATGTAAAACTTCGTGCGAGCGAACAGCTGGTTTTTTGCGAGTGTACACTCTGAAAATAAGTTTATGGAAGTCAGCGATATATCAAGGAAACTTTTTCTAGAAGGATTCATTGTTCCGAGAAAACTGATTTCGGGCGCACGAAAATTGTTCAATCCGTAGCTTCATCCTGATATTTGTATTCCTCTAGTGGAGAGGATCAATCACTTCATAGAAGGAAA